AATATGTGAAGAAACTTCATATCCTCGTTTGTACGCTTCTTTTCGCGTTTTAATTTTGGACGAAACTGATTTTTTACGTACCATTTTAGGCTCAATCACACGTGACAAAATATTGTAAATTCAAAGTGGTTACACTTTCTCGTTGAGAAAAGGCACGTATATAAGCTAAATATGCCTTTTCTCCTTAGTGAGAAGTAGATATTATCTCTTAACTTGATGAGATAATGAAAAGACAAGTTTCTTTCAAGCTAAATCTTCTGTAAAACTAAGTGAAGATATAGTTGATACTAGGTAAGAAACTTCAGAAAGTCGAAAACTTGGTGACTTTCTTTTAAGCAAGACTTTAATTTAGTATTTATTTTTTATTGTTAAAATAAGCTTATTCCGATTACAATCTAAAATTTATAAAAATAAAAATAAAAATAACAACAATAACAATAACATAATAACAGGTGAAATATGTTTATATCAGAATAGCACGTATAAAACGATTAACAGAAATTTTTTCAATCCAAATAAAAAAAGATAAGTCAATCTAAAATAAATTTAAAAAAAAAATAACAATATTAATAATATAGCATTCGAAGAAATATGTATATATAACATTCTTAAAGAAATCTAAAAAAAAGAAATAATATCAATAGTACAATGTCGGGTGAAATATATTTTTATCGTAATAGCACATAGAAAAAGAATTACATCACATTTTTTTAATCTAAATAAAAAGATAAGACAATTTAAAATAAATATTATTAATATTAAAATGTTAATAATATACTATTCAATAAAATATGTGTATATCAGAATAGAACATAAAAAGAATTAAGGCGCATTTTTTAAATTTTTAATAAAAAGATAAGACTATCTGAAACAATTTTAATAAACATTACAATATCGATAATATAATGTCACGTGACTTGGGGCAAGCTGGATGCTACCAAGCAGGTCCACAGGTTGCGGATAGGGGAATGGCCATTAGTATGATGGTTAGCTGCGAATAAGATCAAGCAATTGATCAAATAAGCAGTCCCGGACAATTCAGCCATCTTGCTAACAGGGTGTGGTGGGGTTTTGGGTGGCACCAAAACACCTATAAAATGCCACAGAAACCCAACGACGGCAAGATGATACGGCGAGTAAAGGCCGCCCGAAGCAAGGTTCGCCTAAGCCAAGTTTCCATAAGCCTTAGCCAGGATACTCCACCATGGGGGTCGCAATCCTGCGATTTCCATGCCGGTCGCAAGTCCGGGAAAAGGAGGAGCGTTGGATAGAAGGGGTGCAGATACCGCTATCTGTAAAAAACTCAAAGACGGCAGAAACCAAAGATGAAAGTCAATGATCTTAATCCATACCGGCTCGGACGTCGCCCGGGTGAACAAGGTCCGCGTCCTCTGTCAGGTAACCAGGGCAGAGTCGAAAAGTTGGTTACTGGAAAACTTTCAAACACCAGAAAACCAAAACCAAAACCAAATAACATTTCAACTAGCACCAATGGAATGAGATTAAGAAAAGAAATCTTAACAATCGGAACATGGAATGTTAGAACTCTATGGGAAACAGGAAAACTAGATCTACTCAGAAATGAACTAAAACGTTTCAGATACGATATAATTGGTGTTTCAGAAATTAGATGGACAGGAAAAGGAGAAACAACTACTGGAGATTTTATATGGTCAGGGGAAGAAAACATTCATGCTAATGGAGTAGGGTTTTTATTAAGCAGGAATGCTAAAAATGCTTTAATTGGATATAATCCAATTAATTCACTAATAATCACAGCAAGATTTAATGCAACTCCATTTAAAATCACGGCAATTCATGTATACGCACCAACTTCTGCATCTTCAGATGAGGAAATCGAGGCATTTTACAACTGCATCGCGAATATTCTAGCTAAGGTTCCTAAGAAAGATCTTATTCTTATGTCTGGCGATTGGAATGCGAAAGTTGGTAACGATAACACTGGATGGAATTCCGCGATGGGTAGATACGGTTTTGGAGACAGGAATGATCGTGGAGAACGTCTCCTAGAGTTTGCAACAGTACATAGATTATTCATCTGTAATACGAGATTCCAGCATAAAGCAGGTCGAAAATGGACTTGGGAATCACCTAACGGAGTTCATAAGAATATGATCGATTTAATCTTAGTTCAGCAAAGATGGAAATCTTCTGTAATCAACTGCAGAACATTCCAAAGTGCAGATATCGGTTCAGATCATTCACTGGTATTATGCAACATCAAATTACACCTGAAGAAGATATACCATAAGAGAAATCAGAACTGCAGATTAAACATAAACCAGTTGAACAATACTACTACCAAAGAACTCTACATCGATTTATTAAAAGAAAAAATCAAAAAATTTCAACCAAATAGTAGTGTCGAAGAACACTCCAAAGAAATACTAAATGCTATCCGAGAAACAGGAAATACAGTTATTCCTACAATAAAATCATCTAGGAAACCATGGATCTCTGCAGAAACACTAAAACTTGTCGAGGAGAAATGTTTAGCGAAGCTAACAAAGAATATATCAATAGAAAACAGCAATAAATATAGAGAAGCATGCAATTCAGTGAAAAGATCAGTAAAACAGGATAAAGAACAATGGTTGCAGAAACAGTATACAGAAATTGATAAAGGTCTAAAAGTAGGTAACACCAGGAAAGCGTATTGCTTAATAAAAACACTAAAAAAGAAAGATTTTACACCACGATTAAATATAATACGGAATCATGATGGAAATTTGCTACAATCTAAAGAAGCAATCAAGAAAAGATGGACTCAATATTGTAGTAACTTATACAAAGATAATGGTGGAGGAGATATAGTAATAAAAGAATTAGAAGAAATTTCCCCACCAATTCAGCAAGAATCTCATGATATCCTATTTTCGGAGGTAGAACTAGCTATACAGTCATTAAAAAAGAATAAAAGTCCTGGTTTAGATGGAATCCAAGCTGAATTATTACAAAATGGTGGAGAGTCATTAGCACATGAAATTCACAAAGTCTGTAATAAAATATGGCATAGCGAAGTGATTCCAGAAGATTGGGGAAAGTCAATTTTGATCCCATTACCTAAAAAAAGGGAATTTATCAGAATGTTCAAATTACAGAACTATTTCCCTCATTAATCATATTAGCAAAATCTTTTTAATAATACTACTAAACAGACTTCAATATCAATTGAATTCCTATCTTTCTGAAGAACAATCAGGGTTCAGAAAAGATAGAAGTACTGGTCATCAAATCCTAATATTGAGACTTATAGCGGAAAAGGCAAAAAGGAAAAGTAAAAAGATCTATAATTGTTTCATAGATTTCCAGAAAGCTTTTGACACTGTTAATCATAAAGTTTTGTGGGCAGTATTGAAATCTTATGGTGTCGATGATAAATTAACCAGGTTATTAAAGGAAATCTATGGGAAAGCTCAGTCAGCTGTCAGAATAAATAAGGA